TCATTAAAGCGTGTATCCATGGATTGAGTCTGCGCTCGCAGTGCTTTGGGAGCCGTCATGATGTAGTTGTGCAGGAGACTGAAGGTGGTGATTTGTCATCCTGTGATGCATTTCATTTATTTTGCATTTATTTCAAGAGGCTTGGGCCCTCAGAGATCAGGGCTTTTCTGTTAGCGAGTTCAGCAGTGTGCAATAAACAGACAACAGAAACGCATCTGAGAAAGTAAAACCCAATGAATGAAATGCTGAAGAAGAAACAAATCTCTTGGTTTATTCACATTGACCTAGGGCCAGATTCATAAAGCCATTTAAGGATGCTGCAATTGTAGCCTTAAGTTCAGAATATTAAGGATTATTAACTTTTTGTTCTTATTTAAAACTAAGAATGAGCGTGATTTATGCAGATTTTTGTCTTGGCTTCAATTAATTAACAAAATTAGCTAAGCAACTTGTTGGGATTTTGCCTTCATATTCGTGTGAAAACCAGACATGTGCTAATCAATGGTAGCATTATAGTGTTTAAAGATGCCAGACATGCTTTAAAATATCTTAATAAACATGCTAATGTTGCTAGCATGACATAACAGCATGTTTCTACCATGTTTTAGAACATGACTAACATGTGATTGCATGTATTTGTCAATGTTTTTGTTTTGTTTGCTAAGTAAGTTAACATATTAGCACGTCCTAATCTATGTTTGACACTTTTTTTTACATTATTTAATTCATGATAGTATTTTAAAACACGGTAGGGTCATGTTCAGATAGTTAAAACAAGCTAGCAACATGCTAATTGATATTAGCAACATACTAGAAACCTGTTAGCAATGTGAAAACATGTTAGCAATATTAAACATGGTGGAAACATGTTATCATATTAAATATGCTATATGCTTGTTCATGCTGATAAGTTTGGTTACCATGCTCAAAATATGCTGGCAACATGCTAATTCATTATAGCAAGATGTTAAATATGGTAGGAAAATGAAACATGTCAACATCATGGTAATTAATATTAGCAGCATGCTTGAAACCGGTTAGAAACATGCTAGAAACTTGTTAGCAACATGTTAAAACATGTTAACCATTTGCTAGAAACGTATAATATTAAAAATGCTAACAACATACTCGTTCATGCAGGAATTTTGATAACATGAAAACATTGTATATTAGTATGCTAGCAGCATGTTTGGTGATATTAACAGCATGTTAGAAACACGTTACCACATATTAAACATGTTTGAAACATTTTAACACAATTAAATATGTTAGTAACATGTTAACAGCATGCTAACTGATATTAGCAACATGCTATAAACATGTTAGCTACATTGTAGAAACTTGTCAGCCACAGATTACACATGCTAGGAACATCTAAACATATCAGATGCTAGCAACATGCTTATTCATGCTGGAAACTTGATAACCTTGCTTGGAAAATTGTTGCAATATGCTAATTCATAATGGAAACATTTTAAACAAGGTATGTTAACATAACATGCAGACAGTATGCTAATTAATGTTGACAGCATGTTAGAAACATGTTAGCCACACATTAAACATGCTAGAAACATGTTAACATAATTAAATAAACATGCTAAAACATGTTAGCCATGATAAAACAAGTTATTAACGTCTTCCTAGCTTCTCAAAGTAACTTTTCAGACACATCTAGTTGGAATTCTTCAGCTGTTGTGCTTCATCTAAACTGATAACCATCTGAAAGCAGAGGCCTGATACTTGTAAAATAAAATATGAAATGGAAAATGTGATCCATGAAAAGTTATTTCACGATCGTATAAAAGGAAATGAAATTCCTCACATTCATCCACTGTTGGAAACACGTCCAGCCCATCTGTACATGCAGAACAGCCATTTTGTGACAGTGTGCCAATTAATGATTGCAACTTGTTAAACATGGTAAAAAATAGTTCAAATAGAGTTAAAACGTGTTAACAGCATGCTAATGTAATATTAGAAACACGCTAGAAACATGTTAGCTATGAATTACACATGCTGGAAACATGCCAACATATCAAATATGCTAGCAACATGCTCGTTCATGCTGGAAACCTGGTAAATTTGTTTGAAACATGCTAGGAACATGCTAATAGAGTTAAACATGCTAATTAAAATTGACAGCACACTAGAAACAAATTAGTTATGCCAGAAACATGTTAACATAAATATGTTAGCAACATGTTAAACATGGTAAGAACATGTTAACATAGAGGTAAACATGTTGGCAGTATGCTAATTCATATTGACAGCATGCTAGAAACATTAAACATGCTTGAAACATGTTAACACAATTAAATATGTTAGCAGCATACTTAAACATGCTAGCCTTGTGATTATTTATTAGCAACATTCTAGAAAAATGTTAGCCATGGATTACACATACTGGAAACATGCTAACATATCAAATATGCTAACAACATGATCATTCTTGCTGGAAAATTGGTAACTTTGTTTGAAATATGCTAGCAACATGTTGAATCATGATGGTAAAACATGTTAAACGCGGTAGGAACATGCTAACAGAGTTAAACATGCTAATTTATATTCACAGCACACAAAAAACAAACTA